TACGAAAAATACAAAAAATTGGCTTGGCATGGTGGCAGGCACCTGTAATTCCAGCTACTCAAGAGGCTGAGGCAGGAGACTCACTTGAACCTGGGAGGCAGAAGTTGCAGTGAGCCAAGATTGCACCATTGTACTTCCTGCCTAAGTAACAAGAGCAAAACTCTGTCAAAAGAAAGAAAGAAAAGAAAAGAAAAGAAAAGAAAAGAAAAGAAAAGAAAGAAAGAAAGAAAGAAAGAAAGAAAGAAAGAAAGAAGAAAGGAGGGAGAGAGGGAGGGAGGGAGGGAGGGAAGGAAGGAAGGAAGGAAGGAAGGAAGGAAGGAAGGAAGGAAGGAAGGAAGGAAGGAAGGAAGATCAGGGCAGAAATAAGTGAAATTGAAATGAAGAAAACAATACAAAAGATCAATGAAACAAAAAGTTGGTTTTTTGAAGTTAGGCAAAATTGATAAACATTTAGCCAGACTGACTAAGGAAACAAGAAAGAAGGCCCAAAGAAATAAAGTCAGAGGTGAAAAAGGAGACATTACAACTGATACTACAGAAATTCAAAGGCTCATTAGTGGCTACTATGAGCAACTATATACCAATAAATGGGAAAATGTAGAAGAAATGAATAAATTCCTGGACTCCTACAACTAACCAAGACTGAATCATGAAGAAGCCCAAAACCTGAACAGACCAATAGCAAGCAACAAGATTGAAGCCATAATAAAAAGTCTCCCAGTAAAGAAAACCCCAGGACCCAATGGCTTCACTGCTGAATCCTACCAATGGTTTTAACATGCTGCTGGATTTAGTCTGCTAGCATGTTGTTCAGGAGTTTTGCACCTATATTCATAAGATTTATTGGTCTGTAGTGTTTTTTTTCTTGTAATGTCTTTGTTTGCCTTTGGTACCAGGATAATACTGGTCTCATAGAATAAGTTAGAAAGTGTTACAATAAGTTAGGATTGGTTAAAGAACTAATACCAATCCTACTCAAACTATTCTGAAAATAGAGCAGGAGGGAGTATTTCCAAACTCATTCTACAAGGCCAGTATTACCCTGATAACAAAACTAGACAAAGACTCATCAAAAAAAAAAGAAAACTATAGGCCAATATCCCTTATGAATATTCATGCAAAAATCTTCAACAAAATGCTTGCAAACTGAATTCAACAATACGTCAAAAAGATCATTTATTATGACCAAGTGGATTTATTCCTGGGATGAAAGGATTGTTCAACATATGTAAACCAATCAATGTGATACATCATATCAATGGAATGAACGACAAAAACCATGTGATCATTTCAAGTTATGCTGAAAAAGCATTTGATAAAATTCAATGGATAAAAGTAGAACTACCATATGATCCAGGAATCCACTGCTGGAGGTATACCCAAAAGAAAGGAAATTAGTATATTAAAGAAATATCTGCACTCCCATGTTTGTTGCAGCACTGTTCACAATAGCTAAGATTTGGAAGCAACCTAAGTGTCCATCAGCAGATGAATGGATGAAGTAAATGCAATACCTATATACAATGGAGTACTATTCAGCCATAAAAAGGATGAGATTCTGTCATTTACAACAACATGGATAGAACTGGAGGCCATTAAGTTAAATGAAATAAGCCAGGCACAGAAAGACAACATCATGTGTTCTCACTTTTTGTGGGATCTAAAAAATCAAAACAATTGAACTGATGGACATAGAGAGCAGAAAGATGGTCACCAGAGGCTAGGAAGGGTAATGGGCAGGGGCAGGTTGGGGAGAGGCGAACATGGTTAATAGGTACAAAAACATTAGTCAAAAAGAATGAGTAAGAAAACAGGGTGACTCTAGTAATTTAATTGTACATTTAAAAACAACCAAAAGAAGCCTGGGCAACATGATGAAACCCAGACTCTACAAAAAGTAGCCAGGCATGGTGGCAACCCCTCTTGTCCCAGCTACTTGGAAGGCTGAGGTGGGAGGATCATTTGAGCCAGGGAGGTGGAGGTTGCAGTGAGCTGGGATCATGCCACTGTGCTCCAGCCTGGGTGACAGAGTGAGACCCTGTCTCAAAAAAAAAAAAAAAAAAAAAAGGAAATAGACAATCTAGGCTTCTATATTATGGAATTAGAAAACAAAGAGCAAGCTAAACCAAAAGCAACCAGAGGGAAAGAAATAACAAAGGTTGGAGTGCAGATAAATAAAATGGAGAATAGAAAAGCAATAGAATCAATGGAACAAAAAAAATGGTTCTTTGAAACGATCAACAAAATTGGCAAACCGTCAGCTAGACTCTGTCTCCCACAGAGAGAGACAGTGAATGAATGAGATAGAAGACTCAAGACTCGATTACTAGAAACAGAAATGAAAGCGGAGGCATCACTAAAAACCTTACGAAGAAAAAATAAAAGATTACAAAAAATACTATGAACAATTGTATACCAACATATTAGATAATCTGGACGAAATAGACAAATTCCTAGAAACTCACAAATTACCAAAGTTGACTCAAGGAAAAATAAAAAATCTGAATAGATCTATGATAAGTAAAGAGATTAAATCTGTGATCAAAAACCTACCAACAAAGAAAAGGCCAGGGCCTTCACTGGTAAATTACAGCAAACATTTAAGGAAGTAACACCAATCCTTCTCAAACTCTTACCTAAATAAATAAATAAGCAAGCAAAGGAGGAAACACTTCCTAACTTATTCTATGACACCAGTATTATCCTGGTACCAAAGGCAAACAAAGACATTACAAGAAAAAAAACCCTGCAGACCAATAAGTCTTATGAATATAGGTGCAAAACTCCTGAACAACATGCTAGCAGACTAAATCCAGCAGCATATTAAAAGCATTATACACCATGATCAAGTGAAATTTATCCCAGGAATGCATGGGTCATTTAATATGCAAAAATCAGGTCTGGCACGGTAGTTCAAAGCCTGTAATCCCAGCACTTTGGGAGGCAGAGGCGGGTGGATCACCTGAGGTCAGAAGTTCAAGGCCAGCCTGGCCAACATGGCGAAACCCCGTCTCTACTAAAAATACAAAAATTAGCCAGGTGTGGTGGTGGGCAGCCTGTAATCCCAGCTACTCGGGAGGCTGAGGCAGGAGAATTGCTTGAACCCAAAGATGGAGGTTGCAATGAGCCGAGATCGTGCCACTGGACTCCAGCCTGGGCAACAGAGCAAGACTCTCTCAAAAAAAAAAAAAAAATTAATGCATGTAATTAATAAAATGAAAGGGGAAAAAATCACATGATCATCTCAATTGATGCAGAAAAATAACACTTAACAAACTAAGAATAGAAGGAAAATGTGTCAACCTGCTAGAAAGCATCAGGAAAAACCCACAGTGAATATTGCTCGTGGGAATATAGAACAGTACAGCTGCAATACAAGAGCTTGGTGGTTCTTCAAAAAGCTAAACATAAGAGTTACCATATGGCTCAGCAATTTCATACCTACATATAGACCCCAAACAAATAAAAAAGCAAATATTGACACAAAAACTCATATATGGATGTTCATAGCAACATTATTCATAATAGCCAAAAAGTACAGACAACCCAAATATCCATCAATTGATGAATAAATGAATAAAATGTGGTATATTCATATAAGAACATTATTCATCCATAAGAAGGAATGAAGCACTGACACATGCTACAATACGGACAGCCCTTGAAAACATTATGATCCGGGGCTGGGTGTGGTGGCTCACGCCTGTAATCCAAGCACTTTGGAGGCCGAGGCGGGTGGATCACCTGAGGTCGGGAGTTCAAGACCAGCCTGACCAACATGGTGAAACCCCATCTTAAAAAAAAAGAAAAGAAAAGAAAACATTATGATCAGAGAAAGAAGCCAGATACAGCTAGGCTACGTATCGTATGATTCTATTTACAGTAGTACCCCCTTACCTTCAGGGGATACATTTCAACACCTCTAGTGGATGCCTAAAACCACAATAGTATCTAATCCTATTGTACCATGTTTTTCCCGATGCATGCATATGTACGATAAAGTTTATAAATCAGGCTCTGTGAGAGATTAGCAACAATAGCTAAGAATAAAATAGAATAATATGCCAGCTCCTGTGAAGGGAAAGTTACACGAAAAACCATCACCATATGCCAGCAACACTGCTCTTGCACTTTGGGTCTTGATTAAGTAAAAGAAATGTTGCTGGAACACGAGCGCTGTGATACTGTGGCCGTTGATCTGGTAACTGAGAAGGCTGCTAAGTGACTAACAGGCAGGAAGTGTCGACAGCATGGACCACGGTGGATAAAGGAAGCATTCGTGTCTGGGGTGGGACGAAGAATGATGCACACTTAGAATGATGCACAATTGAAAACTCATATGTTGTTTATTTCTGGAGTTTAATATTTTAGGACTGTGGTTGACTGCAGGTAACTGAAACCATGGAAAGTGAAACAACAGATAAAGTGGGAGTGCTGTATTTAAAATGTCCAGAATAGGCAAGTTCACGGCGACAGAGATCAGTGGTTTCCAGGGGATTGGGGGATCGGGAATGGGATGTGACTGCTTAACAGGTACAGAGTTTCTTTCTAGAGTGAGAACAACGTTCTGGAACTGGTGGTGATGACTGACAACTTGTGAATGTACTAGAAGTCATTGCATTTGTATGATTTTTTTCTTTTTGAGACAAGGTCACCCAGGCTGTCACTCTGTCACCCAGGCTGAAGTGCAGTGGCATGATCATGGCTCACCACAGCCTTGACCTCCTGGGCTCAGGTGATCCTTCCACCCCAACCTCCTGAGTAGCTGGGACGACAGTCCTGTGCCACCATGCCAGGCTATTTTTTGTATTTTTTGCTGGGATAGGGTTTCACCATACTGCCCAGGATAGCCTCATGTTCCTGGGCTCAAGTGAGCCTCCCACCTTGGCCTCCCAAAGGGCTAGGATTATAGGTGTAAACCACTGCCCCCAGCCTTGTACAATTTAAAATGGTTAAAGTGGTGAATTTTACATTGAATTTCACTTCATAGGAATTTTTTTAAAAAAACAACAAACGACTTTAATGGACACATAAATTCCCTGGGGGTCTCATTGCAATGCAGATTTGGATTAAGAAGTCTGGGTGGGGCCTGAGACCCTGATCCCCTTGCTTTTCACCTATGGCCACATTTTGAGACGCAGGGCCACTCGAAGAACCCCCACCTCTGTGAATCAACCCCTGCTCATCTGCTCCTGTAAATAAGGAGGGCTAAAGCACAGATGGCAGGAATGGGGGTGTCCCCAGGTCTGAGCCTGGAGGGGGTTGCAGGCCTCCTCCAGGCATGGAAGTGGAGGGAGAGGGGGCTGTAGTTAAACGGGTTACTCTGTCAGCAGACACAGAGGAGGCGGAAGGAGTAGCTTTTATTTCACACAAAGCTGGGGAAGGAAGGCGAGCGGACAGGGCTGGCTCTCAGAGGGTGCTGCCTGGCAGGTGCACCACTGGCAGGTGCACCACTGGCAGCTGCTGGGCTCCAGCTCCGGGGCTCAGAAGCCATCTGAAAGAAAGCGGCGGCCTCCAGTGAGCAAGCTGGGGTGCTGCAGGGTCCCCGGCCCGTGCTGCTCAACAGTTTCTTCCCTCCCCTCCCCAGCCCCCCGGGACACGGGGATCAAGGAGAGGGCAAAGAGCAACTCCATCCCTGCCTGATCAGTGGGGTGCCGTCTTCCCTGTGAGGGTTTTGGGGTGGAACAGGAATGGCTTCTCAGGGGGAAATGAAAGGAGCTGAGGAGCTTTAGTCCGGAGAAGGCCAACGAAGGAGGCAGCTTCTCCTCGCTGGGGTGTGCTGAGTTGGTATCTAGGACCGGCTCTTCCAGAATTTCGTCTGACACTGGGCCGCAGCGACCGGGTGTGGGTTGGGGAGGAGGGATGATGCCGTCCCGCTTCCGTCCCCGGGTGCGCTGGGGCCCTCCCTGCTGTCCAGCCTACACCTGTGCAGTGGAGTAGCCCCATCCGTCTCGCCTGCCCGGCCCCAGATGACAGCAGTCCAGAGGTTGTCCTCTGCCAGCTGCACCGCTCACCTTCTCCGAGGAGGTCGGGGGCGGGGCTGAAGGGTCCCGGGGGCAGGTTCCAGGCCAGCTCCTCCAGCAGGCCCAGCAGGCCTTTCACCTCTGTCGCCAGGTGCTCCACGGTCTTCTCTACCATCTATTGTGGGAAGGGGGTAAAGTCGAGGACAGGAGTGGTGCTGCACTCTGCTTCATCAGCTAAGGCCCTAAGGAGCAGCTATCGGTCCAGTGGGGTGCAGTGGGAAAGGACTGCGTGTTGCGGGACCTGGGTTTTCCTCACTCAGGCTCTGCCCCTACCTGCCTCAGTTTCCCCAGATGACAATATCCTAGGGGGCTCGCTCTCTAAGGCTCCTTCCTTTTTGGCACTCAATCACAGGTTTGGATGAAACGCCTTTAGAATGCCTTCTCCCTTTTGGGACTTTGCAGGCTGGTGCTCTCATTTCTTTTGTTGCTCCGCCCCCTGGTGGTGTCTCTGCCGAATGACAGATTTGGGATTTTGAAATTTACTCAGGGTTCCCAATAGTTATTTTTTTCCCTTTGTATGCCATGGTCCCCACTGGCAGTGTGGTGAAGCCTACAGACCTCTTTTCAGAATAATGCCTTAAATGCAAAAAATAAAGCATATAGAATTACCAAGGGCATCAATTGCATTAAAATATTATTCATTATTAAAAATTAAACTTTTTGGCCCAGCACAGTGACTCACGCCTGTAATCCCAGCATTTTGGGAGGCCGAGGCAGGCAGATCGCTTGAGGTTAGGAGTTTGAGACCAGTCTGGCCAACATGGAGAAATCCCATGTCTACCAAAAATACAAAAAATTAGCTGGGCATGGTGGTGCATGTCTGTAGTCCCCGCTACTCGGGAGGTTGAGGCATGAGAATCACTGGAGCCCTGGAGGCAGAGGTTGCAGTGAGCTGAGATTGAATCATGAACTCCACCTGGGTAACAGAGCAGGACTCTGTAAAATAAAAATTCAAACTTTTGGATATAACATATGTATTGACTGGGCATAGTGACTCATGCTTGTAATCCCAGTACTTTGGGAGGCCGAGGTGGGCGGATGGCTTGAGCTCAGGGGTTCAAGACCAGCCTGGGAAACATAGCAAAACCTCATCTCTACAAAAAAAAAAAAAAATTGGCCAGGCATGGTGGTACATACACCTGTAGTCCCAGCTACATGGGAGGCTGAGGTGGGAGGATTGCTTGAGCCTGGGAGGTGGAAATTGCAGTGAGGTGAGACTGCACCACTGTACTCCATCCTGGGTAACAGGGAGACAATGCCTCAAAAAACACGTATTTATTAACTCACTAAATCACATGATTTAACATCAGGCCTAACAAAAACAGAAAAGTTGACATACGAAGGGTATAAATGATATGTTCAGATATTCATAACTAGAACAAGATGAAATTATCTGGATTTCTATTGATGACAAAGTTATAGTACTGTTAATACCACTGCTTGCTGTCTGTATTTATGATGAATGGGAATGCTCAATTTCAGTTAAAGGCTTGCAACAATACAAATGTAAGCTTTTTTCCACACAAGTTAGGAATCGTGGCTAAATAACAAAACAGTGACTGAATTTCCACCTTCCCATCCAGTATTGATGCTGAAATACCCACATGGGGGCAAGTAAGGCCTTAGGGGAAGCAGGGTCCACTGGAGACTGGCCAGCCTGACAGCCTAGATGGGAGGGTGATGTTGGACAAGGCAGCCACAGTGCAGGATTGGCCTGTATGGCCTGACATTCCAAAGCAAGCTTGCATCTTCCCATAAAAACACCATCCTAGGCCAGGCCTGGTGGCTCATACCTGTAATCCCAGCACTTTCGTGGGAGGAGGTGGGCGGATCACCTGAAGTCAGGAGTCTGAGACCAGCCTGACCAACATGGAGAAACCTCATCTCTATTAAAAATATAAAATCAGCTATGCATGCCTGTAATCCCAGCTACTTGCGAGGCTGAGGCAGGAGAACCTCTTGAACTCGGGAGGAGGAGGCTGTGGTGAGCCGAGATCATGCCATTGCACTCCAGCATGGACAACAAAAGCAAAGCTCCATCTCAAAAAAAACCCAAAAAATCCCATCTTAGAAGGTGGTCCTGACCCCACATGTCCTTCCAAACCATCCTGTGGTTTACCTCCTCCATGACATCCAGACGGCGTTGCACGGCCATGTGTCTGTCACACGCTGTGCTCTGAGCTGCATCTCCCTGGGGAGGGCTGAAGGGTTCTGCAGCTGTGGAGAAACAAGTCTTGTCACTGTGGGGCCCTTGGTTTGCCATCATGCCAGAGACTCCTGTAAACACTGGGCTCAAGTGAGGTCGGTCCCCAAAGCAAATGCAAGAGCAAGCAGAGGAAGGCCCTGGTGGGGGTCAGTGTGTGAGTGCCAGCCATCTCAATCCCACCAGTCACCTACAGACCCACATGGACTTCTTCAAGGAGGTGAAGCCCAGGGAGGAAGGGAGGACGGGCTCCAGCCAGTCAATTGCAGTGACAGAGAGGCCTGTGCAAACCCTGCGGGGATCCTGCAGTGGCTGGAGACACAGGGTGGTCGGGAGAGAGACTGGAGACGGAAATCCTGGAAATCAAACCAGAGCTTTAGCCCAGAGGCTTTAATAAATCAGTTCTGAGCATATTTGGGGGGCAATCTGGGCTCACTGCAACCTCTGCCTCCCGGGCTCTAGTGATTCTTCTGTCTCAGCCTCCTGAGTAGCTGGGATTACAAGTGCCTGCTACTTTGCCTGGCTAATTTTTGTATTTTTAGTAGAGATGGGGTTTCACCATGTTGATCAGGCTGGTCTCAAACTCCTGGCCTCAGGTGATCCTCCTGCTTCAGGCTGCCAAAGTGCTGGAATCACAGGTGTGAGCCACCACACCCAGCCAAGGGGGTTTATTTTAATAGAAGAATCACAGAGTCAAACATGAATTTTTAAAATATAGGGAATAGACTGGAGGGAGATGCCTTTGAAGGCAGGAAGTTACTGCAGCAATCAGGGTAAGAGGGATGAAGGAGAAGTGATGAGCAGAGGCAGTAGCTGTAGGAATATGAGGATGAAAATGAGAGGAGGTATTTCAATAGCAGCACTGACACTGGGAACCCGTTAGTTACAGCTGGCACGTGATGAGTGCTTACCACGTACGACGTAGGGTGCTAACTTAACCTCTCCAACAACCTGTTGTTACCCCCAATCTATACGTAAGAAAACTGATGCATAGAGGGAAGAAAGTATGTGTCCAAAGTCACTACTCATAAGCAGAGGATCTGCCATTCCATTGTGCTCCTCGAGTTGGCTCTTCCAGGCACCATCAACCCTCATGCAGAAGTCTAAGAGCCCTGATTCCAAGCTCAGGTTTCAGAGTTGGTAACCCTGAGATGCCTGTGGGGCATCAGAGTTGGCTGGAACCTTGGAGAACGCTGACACTCAAGAAGGAGAGTGCTGCCCCAGAAGTCAAGAGCAGCCAAGCTCTACAGATTCTGCAGAGAATGAAAAAGGTCAGCATGGCCGAAAGCAGTGAGGAGGTCTAGCAAGATAAGGACTGGAAAAAGAGCACAGGAAAGGCCCTTGTTAGATGTCACCCCAGCACTCTTAGGAGTGGTGGGGGAAAAGCAGAGCTTGGATTATGGTAAGATGAGAAGGGAAGGTGAGGCTGGGGATAGAAGCTTGGATTCTGGAAAATTTCACAAAGCTTGGCTGTGAAGGAAAGGAGACTGGATCACAAGGTCTAGAGAAGTATTTATGGTTGTGTGTGTGTGTCTGTGTGTGTGTGTTTTAAGCAGTGGAAAACACAATGATGTTTACAGTCTGAGGGACAAAAGGAAGACAAGAGAAGCAAAGGAATGCTCTTCCTGAATTGATGGGAGGTCCCGGATCCAAAGTGGGTGGGAACACATCTGGAAGGAAGACAGAGGGAATGCAGCAAAAATGGGCAAAGGTAAACCATCTAACTAGAGGGCCAGAAAGTGGAGTGAGCTCCTGCCTGATGGGCTCTGTTTACTCTGTGCAGTAAGAAAGAGAACACGTAGGGAAGAGAGCTAGCTGTTAAAATTTCAAGAATTCTATGAGTAGGTTACTAAACACAGATGTTAAAATAGTGACCATGGTGGATGGAAATGGTGGCTTGTGCCTTTAATCCTAGTACTTTGGGAGGCTGAGTGGGAGGATCACTTGAGGCCAGGAGTTTGAGACCAGCCTGATCAACACACTGAGACCCTATCCCTTAAAAGAAAAAAATTTTTAAGTAAAAAGAAAAAAAAAATGGTGGCCATGATGAGAATACTTACACCACAGAAATCACCAACCCCTGCCCCCCTTCTTTTCTTTTTGAGAGCCAGTCCATCAGTGCACCACCAGGTAAGGGGCTTGAATAAAGAGAGGGCTTCAAAAGGGGATGTGCAGAATGAGGGAGTAGGAGGACCATGCAGAATGAGCCAGCATCAACAAGGAATCCTGGAAGTGTGAGTCCTCCCCCAGCAGTGCTCCACAGTCTAGGCGCACAGCAGCAAAGACAGATGGCTGGATGGAGTCTGCAGGGTGGATGTGGTGGAGGCAAGGGGACAAGGAACTGAGATTTGACCAGCCAGAGGTTTAGGAGGGGAGCCCTGGAATCCAGCTGGGATAAGGAAGGAAATGAGGCCAAGAAGAGGGCCAATAAACTGGAAGAAGGGGGAGCTAAAGAGACTGGAGGTCTTAGGAATCACAGGAGGAACAGGAGGTAAAGAATATTGCAATTTTAGCTTTTACAGGTCGAGCGGCTTCAGATAGTGACAATATCAAGGCTGCGGCCATGGATGTGGGCATCCAAAGCTCAGTGTGGGGAGTTACGGAGCTTGAGCCCTCTAGGTGCAATGCTTGTAGCTTAAGGCCTTGGTGTTGGATGGGTTGGCCAAGGGGCCATCTGCACTTGTCTAGAAGGGGGGCAGGTCTTGAGACAGGACAGAGTTGGTGATGGATGTGTAACTCTGAGAGGCCAAGGGATTTGCCCAAGCTCACGCCATCAGCAAATGCCTGGACCTCAGGCACCCTGACCTCCTGGCTTCAACTCATCAAAGTGGGGCCCCCTGCCTTGTGATTTTCTGATTCCAACTCTATCTAAATCTCAGCTCTTCCACTCAGGGATAAGAACAACACCAGGGACAAAACGTCCTTCCAATCCGAGCATCTTTTGTGGAGAACAATCTGTTTTTTGAATTTTCCTTTTCATTATTTCCTTCCATTAAATTTAGAAAAGACTCTTCAAAAGATAATGGTGTTATTCCTGAACGTGGGGAGGGAGGAGGACATGATAACGGTGCCTTGGTTATTTCTTTAAGGCGAGTCTTTTAAAGACCCATACTGAAATATTTACAGATGAAATGTTATGCCGTCTTGGATTTACTTCCAAATAATCCAGGCCTGGGTGGGGATGGGGGAGAGGCCTGCGTGGATGTTTAGAGCAAACAAGATGGGCTGAGAGCTGCTAATTGTTGGAGCTGGGTGATGAGCACGTAGGGGTACATTCAGCTTTTCTCTCTACTGTTGTGGGCGTGGTTTGAAACGTTCCCTAATAAAAGCCAGCTGTCTGATGGGGCTGTCAGCAGAAAGCAGTAGCCACCGTGGGCTGCAGGCATCCGTGTAAAATATTCAGAGGGAGAGGTCCCACCTGGGGGCTATGCTCCATCCTGGCCCCACATCCTGAGAAGGCCCTTGGGAGGCAGGGGCAGGTCTAGAGGAGGCTATGGGGAAGAGACTCCTTTTTTTATTTCTTCTTTCTTTTTTTGTTTTGACAGGGTCTCAGTCTGTCACCCAGGCTGAAGTGCAGAGGCACGATCATGACTCACCGCAACCTCTGCTTCCCGGGTTCAAGCAACTCTCCCACCTCAGCCTCCAGAGTAGCTGGGACTACAGGCACACATTACCATGCCGGGCTAAGTTTTGTATTTTTTGTAGAGATGGGGTTTCACCACGTTGCCCAGGCTAAGCTCAAACTCCTGGGCTTAAGTGATCCACCTTCCTTGGCCTCCCAAAGTGCTGGGATTATACGTGTGAGCCATCGCACCCAGTCTGGGACTCCAAATTTTAACTCTGTTTCAGCTGAAACTGGGCTGATCAGCTTAGAGAGGAAAAGTTCTGAGGGGGCCGGAAGAGCTGTTCTCACCCACAGAGTGGCCGTCCTGGGGAAGGCCTGTCGTCGTGAGTCTGTGAATACACACACCGCCTGCTGGCTCTGTCCAGAGGCCTTCGGCCGGGCCTTTCCCCTGAGCCTCACCTGCCCTCCCCCAGACCGCAGCCACTCTCCCCTCACACACTTCTCCCAGGCTCAGGCCAGAAGGATACAGTGTGACCCTGCCAGCCACGTGGGAGTCAGGCTGCGTTGGAAGTCAGGAACAACCAGAGCCTGCTCCTCTCCACTGGCCTAGAACACCCTGCTCTCTAGAGTCTGTAATGAGGTCTAACTTGGCTCCAGATCCCCTCCAGGGAAAAGGCTGGGCTGAGGTCGCTCCCCACGTGGCTCAGCGCTAATCCTTCACATCTGGACAAAACTGTGCTCTGTGCTCCTGGAGCAACTGTCCATGAGCTCATCGGGGCCTCCACAGAGGACATCTGAGAGAGCAAGCTTGGAGCAGGGCCTGACATTGTCCTGCCTGCTCCCTCCCCACCAGGTCCTCCACACAGAGCTGACTTGAACGCATCATGTCAGAAAACATGCTGGAGACGCCTGTCCTCAGCCTGGTTCAGCCACTAATGATTGTGGGATTGTGAGTTTCTTCTCCCTGAGCCTCTGCTGCCTCCTCCATAAAATAGGATGGGGTAGGCCTGAGGCCCTCACTTCCCCATGTAGCTCATCCTTAATTCTTCTTCTCTGTCATTTGGAGACCGCAGAGAGGCCTCAAAAATCGGCTATGAGAGCTGAGCTCAGTGGTTCACACCTGTAATCCCGGAGCTTTGGGAGGCCAAGGCTGGTGGATCACTTAAAGCCAGGAGTTTGAGACCATACTGGGCAACATAGTGGGACTCTCTCTCTATGAAAAAAAAAATTAGACAAGATTGGTGGCATATGCTTGTAGTCCCAGGTATTTGGGAAGCTGAAGCAGGAGAATCGCTTGAGCCCAGAAGTTTAAGACTACAGTCAGTTACGATTGCATCACTGCTCTCTAGCCTGGGCGACAAAGACCTTGTCTTGTAAAGAAAAAAAAAAAGTAAAAAAAAAAAAAAAAAAAAAAAAAGACAAAAGAACCAATGTCTAATATATGTATAAAACTAATCAACACGGTATAAAAAAAAAAAAAAAAAAAAAAAAAAAAAAAAAAAAAAAAAAAAATTAGTAGACACACACACGCACCCATGGGGCTGTCAGCGGCTCAGACAAGGGGAGTGGAAAAGGCTGAAGGATTCCGATGATTAACCCTGAGCAGCCAAGGCTGTGGCCCCACAGGGCTCCCTTCCTCCCTTTCCTCCCACCCTCCTGGGCCCTGCCAGTTGGGAAATGGACCTCCTTGGATGCTGCGTTGTTTTCTCTGGCCTAGCTCCTGCTCCGGGCCTGATGCGCACCCTGGATGGTGGCCACGGGCGGGGCATCCTGTGCTGGTGAGAACAGGCTGCTGTGGAGCCGGGAGGCCCCAGGGGAGGGCTGGGCTGGCCTGGCTGCCCCAGTTAAAGAGACGTGGCCCCTGGGTGCCATCCTCTGAGGCTGAAGTACTGCTCCCTCTACGTCCGGGCCTTATGGGGAGACCTTTTGTATCTGAACCCAAATAGTAAGAAAGTGCCACAGCGCAGATGGTTTCTGCATGGGGGGCAATGAGAAAGGTTTTCTCAGTGGCGTCTCTGAAAGGTGTTGCTGTATCTTCTGAATTATCAAAGTCACAGTCTTTGAAGAGTCTGCTTTGGAAAGCAACCCTGGACACATTCAATGTAATAGAATAATAAACTTTACCACATCCAATACTTGTATAAAGATGTATGATTCATTCAAAACCATCCATGGGTTTTGATTATTTTTGAAAGCAGCAGAACACTATTCTTCAAATGATTCTATAAAAAACTCCAAAATGTGGGCCGGGCGTAGTGGCTGATGGTCTAAAAGGCCATCAGGGAATAAAGGTTTCTCTGAGTGCTGCTGAAAGAAACCAAGATTGGGGCCAGGCATGGCGGCTAACAACCTGTACTCCCAGTACTTTGGGAGGCAGAGGCTGGCTGATCCCTTGATGTCAGGAGTTCGATACCAGCCTGGCCAATATGGTGAAACCCACCTCCTCCCCCGCCCCCATCTCTACTAAAAAATGCAAAACTTAGCTGGGCGTGCTGGTACAGCATCTATAATCCCAGCTACTCAGGAGGCTGAGGCATGAGAATTGCTTGAACCTGGGAGGCAGAGGTTGTGGTGAGCCGAGATTGCACCACTGCGCTCCAGCTTGGGCGACAGAATGAGACTGTCTCAAAAATAAAATAAAATAAACCAAGGTTGAAAGTCGGACAAGCAAGAGATAGATCTCAATTTACAGAAAATATAAGGGATGAAAGTATTTAAATAACATCAAAGGGACGCAATTAGCAAAATCTAAATGTGGAAAACTTGACAGAACAAACTTAGTTTATTCAACAACAACAACAAAATTTAAAAAAAAAAAAAAGCTGGGCATGGTGGCTCACGCCTGTAATCCCAGCACTTTTGGATGCCGAGGTGGGTGGATCATGAGTTCAGGAGGTCAAGACCATTCTGGCCAACATGGTGAAACTCTGTCTCTACTGAACATACAAAAGTTAGCTGGGTGTCAGGGTGAGCACCTGTAGTCCCAGCTACTCAGGAGGCTGAGGCAGGAGAATCACTTGAACCAGGAGGCAGAGGTTACAGTGCGCCAAGATCGTGCTACTACACTCCAGACAGAGCAAGACTCTGTCTAAAAAAAAAAAAAAAAAAGGGCAGGGGTGGGAAAACTTACATATTTAAAGAGACCTAACAGACATTTTGACCAGATGCAGTATATGTAACCTTATATGGATCAAACAAATGAATTGTAAAAAGATATGACACAATCAAAGACATTTGAACAGTGATTGAATATTTAATGATGTTCAATCACACACTCTTTTTGGAGTGCGATCGTGGCATTGCAGCTATGTTTATTAAAAGAGTGCTTATCTCTTAGAGATACACAAGGAAATATTTATAGATGAAAAGCTATGGGCTCGGCACGGTGGCTCATGCCTGTAATCCCAGCACTTTGGGAGGCCGAGGCAGGTGGATCATAAGGTCAGGAGTTCAAGATCAGCCTGAACAACATGGTGAAACCCTCTCGCTCTAAAAAAAAGAAAGAAAAAAGAAAAGGAAATACATGATGTCAGTCCAGGCATGGTGGCTCACACCTGCCAGCACTTTGGGAAGCCAGGGCAGGTGGATCACTTGAGCCTAGCAGTTCGAGACCAGCCTGGCCAACATGGTGAAACCCTGTCTCTACTAAAAATACAAAAATTGGTCAGGTGTGGTGGTGGATGCCTGTAGTCCCAGCTACTTGGGAGGCTGAGGCAGGAGAATCACTTGAACCTGGGGGGTGTAGATTGCAGTGAACTGAGATTGTGGCACTGCATTCTAGTATGGGTGACAGAATGAGATCCTGTTGCACAAAAGAAGGAAAGAAAGAAAGAAAATACAATGCCTGGATTTCATAATCCAGGGAGGGGAGCGGGTGAGGACTGCAGATGACATAAAACTGCCCATGAATTGAAACTTGTTGAAGCAGGGTTGACGAGTACATTATGTGATTCTTTCCTATACTATTATTTTGTATTTTTTGTATCCAACAGTTTTCATAATCAAAAGTTAAGAGATATCTGAAATCTGAAAGATTATGCACAAAAATGTATGAAGTCAGTGTGAAATGACATTAATCATGAATACTTTCCTCCTTTTCTTCTTCTCTCTCTTTTTTTTTTGAGATGGAGTCTCGCTCTGTCACCCAGGCTGGAGTGCAGGGGTACTGTCTCTGCGCACTGCAACCTCCGCCTTCTGGGTTCAAGCGATTCTCCTGCCTCAGCCTCCAGAGTAGCTGGGACTACAGGCATGTGCCACCTTGCCCGGCTAATTTTTTTTTGTATTTTTAGTAGAGACGGGATTTTACTGTGTTAGCCAGGATGGTCTTGAACTCCCGACCTTGTGATCTGCCTGCTTCGGCCTCCCCAAATCCTTTTCTTCTTAATCTGTAGCAATGAACATTCATAATCAGAAAGAAAAACAACGTTTAAAATGGGTTTAAATTCTCTATACAAGTCGTGGCTAAAAGGAGCACCAAAAGTAGCCACTTGTGGACGGGCCAGTCCCTCCTCCCTCTGGGGGAAGCACAGGCGCTGCTTTGTGCCCTCAGCTTCCAGAGCCTGGGGCTGAGCTGGGAGGCGGGTAAAGGAGAGGGGGATGACAGGGTGTGTACGGGGGCTCTACTCTATGCTGGGCAGAGTCCCAGCCACTCCTTATACAGCTTGTGAGGAAGCCATTGGTGGTTATCTTTAACAGGTGGGCAAACTGAGGCTCAGAGAAATCAGCGGAGTCATCTAAGAGAATGTGTGTTGATACATGTTCCCTGCTGGGCACTTCCTCTCTCATCTAATCCCTGAGGACAGCCCTGTTGGGGGGGGGTGTCATTCTCCCCAATTGACAGAGGAAGAAGCAGCCCCAGAGAAAGGAAAGGACTCACCCAAGGTAAGGGATCACGAGGGCTGGCCTGGATCCTCTCCCCACGTGCTCACTCCCACAGTTAACTGGGCCCTGAAAGGGGGTGGGTGCTTCTATCTTAGCACAGGGCACTTCTGCCTGGGTGGGGGCAAGGACTGAGGGGCAGGAGGCCTGGATGTTTTGTGAGGGCTCTGCCTTGGCACCACTGTGAGATCTGAGCTTGCCCCTCACCTGAACAACTAAAATGAGCAATAGCCATCCCTGACTAAATGGGGTCGTGGCTTGTAAAGTCCTGTGCAATGTGCAGGGTGGCGGAATCAGCATCTGTGTATAGTCAAGACTACAGTCTAGTAAGTCACTTGACGAGAGTCACCCTGAGCCTCACCTGCGAAGGGGCAACATTAAGCTGAAGGGAGAGGTGGGGGAAAGAAAAGGGAGAGTAAAAGGCAAGGAACCCAGCTAATGGATTAGGCACCCAGAGAGCCTCTCCCTCCCGAACAGCCCTCCACCTCCACCCAGTGCCCCACCTCTGCCCAAAACAGCTCAGTCCCCCAGAGAAGCTCCCTGGAAACTGGGAGGCTGACTTCCTCACCAACTGCAAAACCACCTGAGGCCGCCTGGCAGGTGAAGCAGTGGCCTTTCTCCTGGCCCGCCTGTCTGGCTCCTTGAGGCTGTGCTGAGCTTGCCTGGGTCACTCACCCTTTGGAGTCTGGCTTCTTAGACAATGTCCTATAAAGCCAGGCCTGAGCCTCCGCAGGCCCTCTGAGATGCAGCTGGCCTCCCGGGCTGCCCCGCCCGGCAGCTGTGACCTCCCACCCCAGACCCTGGCTCCTCTCTTGCCAGCTCTACTCCCGTCACTGAGCTTCTCTCTCTCTCTTTTGTGGTCTCTCTCAAATCTTTCTCTTTGCTTCAATATCCACTCTCCCTCCACCCCTTGCTATTTTAGTCACTCTTTCTCTTTCCTTCTCTTTGGTCTCTTAAACTCCTTTTTCTTCTATCTTAGTTCATATCTGTTCATCTATAAAGCCTCTTTCTGTCTCGGCCTCTCCTTTTTCCTTTTCACGATTTATTCTTCCCTCTCTTCTTTATCTCTCCTTTGCTCTACTTCTCTGCCTTTTTCTGCTTCTGTTTCCTCTCACCGTCTTTCTCTCCATCCCTCCCTCCCTGCATCTTCCTCTCTCTCCATCCCGCTGTAGTGTCCAACTCTGTCTCTCTCTTGCCCATTCCTTCCTCGCCATCTGCGGGTCCCCTGCCGTGCCCGGCGCCCCACTCACCAGCCAAAGCGCCCGCGGCGCGGAGCAGAGCCAGCCCGGCCAGCGCGCAGAGCAGGGGCCGCATGTTGCCCGCCCGGCCGAGCGCAGCGCCGCGTCTGCCCGCAGCCGCCCTCCCTGGATCGCGCCCGGCCGGCCTGGGAGGAAATGCTCTTAGTCCGAGCCAAAATTCCTGGGCGGCTCCGGGCTTTCTGGCTGGAGCGAACCCGCCCCCTCCAGAGGCCCCTCTGCACCCTTTGGGCAGCGCGGAGTCCAGAGACCCCGGGAGTTGAGGCGCTGACAGTGCCACCCGGGCGCCTCGCGAGGAAAGGGCCGCCTCCGGAGTCCCCGCGCCTTCTGGGGGCCCGGGAGGGAAGGGGAAGGATTGGGTGAGGGCGTTGGCTCTAGGCGGCGGATCCTGGGGTCAGGGGTTTGTTATGAACCCATTTCAGAGGCGGGCAGACTGAGGCTCAGAGAGAAGTGCCTTCCTCGGCATTACCCTCAGCCGTGGCACAGGATATGCATCCCTGTCTCCTGGGAGTGTGGAAGCTTTTGTTTGTCTACCTACGAACAAGAAATTGATTCTAATGACATGGAACAGTGTCTGGCCCTAAGAAGGAGACCCAGAAACTCACTGCTCTGGTAAGGGAGTGATAGCAACGTGAAAAGGTACTGGTACTTTAAAAAAAAAAAAAAAGGTAAAATTGTGACTCTCGTAAAGATATGAAATTAGCATATTCTAAAGGTTTTATTTAATTCATTATTAATGAGGTAACAAGTAAGATGCCACAAGCAGTCCACAGTTTGGAACACAGTAGCGGAAACTTCCCTATGGGACACGCCTGTTCAACAAAGTGCAACAACAAATTAAGGTTTAGTGAAAACACAAAGCAAAAAAGCTGCAGCTCTGACTTCTCTGCTGCAGAGCCCTGAGTGCCTTGCCTGGCTGTAAGTAGAACGCTTTCATCAGCAAGCCTGGGAGAATGCCTTTGTCCATCAAGGTCCCCATTGGGGTTAACTGGGGCCCTTGCAGATCAAGGCTGCCCCTCTGCCTTCTGTGTTCCTGGCTGTGGCTGTGTAATTGTCCAGAACAGTCACCATGCTAACCAGTGATCCAGTTCTTACCCCCTCCCCGAGAGTGACATAATAGCCTCAGACGCAGAAGTTCTGGTTCTGAGCCCGAGAATCTGAGACAGACTCAAATCTAAATTATTTATTATTTATTTATTTTATTATTATTATCGAGACAAAGTCTTGCTCTGTCACCCAGGCTGCAGGGCAGTGGCACAATCTCAGCTCACTGCAACCTCCGCCTCCCAGGTTCAAGCAATTCACTTGCCTCAGTGCCTCCTGAGTAGCTGGGATTACAGGCACCTGCCACCACACCCAGCTAATTTTTGTGTTTTTAGTAGAGACGGAGTTTCACTATGTTGGTCAGGCTGGTCTCGAACTCCTGACGTTGTGATCCGCCCTCCTCAGCCTCCTAAAGTGCTGGGACTATAGGCATGAGCAACTGGGCCTGGCCCCAGGTCTAGATCTTTCAAAAGCTTTCAAGGAGATTATGATGCCCACATGAACTGGCTCAGAAGAAGAATTTATTTCAGGAATGCCAAGAATGTCTCATGCTTGGTGGTGGGACGTTCCTTGATGGTTTAGCCAGGTGCAAAGTTGTCATAGAACTGCCAAACCCATAAGGATTCTTGTAGCTCAGAGCCAATGGGCTACCTTATATTCTGAATTTAAGATTAAGAAGAAAAACAAACCATATACAATACATTCTTGTTGTGGGAGAGCATAAAGTAATTAAGTATACAGAGTAAAACATAAAGCCTTTTCTGTTATGAATTCCCTCTATTCAACGATTCAGGTCCAGTCCCCTCAGCTTGGTAGGCTGTGCCTGTTCCAGTTCCATGCATTCCCCGTCTGTCTAATGAATAATTAGACACAAATGTATATACATGAGATCAAATAAGAGATATTTTGAAGACTGGCTTTCATTCATGTTTATCTCAGCCATAACATTAAATCTTGGCTGGGTGCAGTGGCTCACGCCTGTAACCCCAGCACTTTGGTAGACCGAGGTGGGTGGATCACCTGAGGTCAGGAGTTTGAGACCAGCCTGGCCAATATGGTGACACTCCATCTCTGCTGAAAATACAAAATACTAGCAGAGCATGGTGTTGGGTGCCTATAGTCCCAGCTACTCAGGAGGCTGATGCAGGAGAATCGGTTGAACCCAGGAGGCGGAGGTGGCAGTGAGCCAAGATTGCACCACTGCACTCCAGCCTAAGCAACGGAGCAAAACTTTGTCTTAAAAAACAAAAACAAAAACAAACAAACAAACAAAACTTGAAGATCATTCTATGTGAGTACAGATAATTCCACTTCATTCCTTTTAAGAGTTACAAAGTATCCCATTGAATGGATGCAAGCAGCATTATTTGTCCAAACAGTCCCCTATTGATGTGCATGTAGATTGCTTCCTTTTTTCCTCCAATATAAAATGTGCTTTAATAAACATACTTTTGCATATATCTTTATGTACATAGTTCATGTATTTCTGAAAGGCTGGAAGAGGAATCATGTGTCAAAGAGCATTTTACGTTTTGCCAGGTAGGCCAAAAACTGTTCCTCAAATTGTCACTAAGCCCACAGGAGGGACAGGAGCCTTTCAGCACTGTTCCAACGCGAACCGGAGTACATGTTGGTCTCGGTAGGAATTGGGCTGCAGGGGGCGCCATTTACATAAATACTTCTGGATTGGAGTTCCCGAAGTGTAAACCTAGAGGTCACCTACATTCTCCAACACCGGATATTTATCATTTAAAATTTTGACAGCTTGATGATGGAAAATGTTACCTTGTTGTTATTTTATTTACAAGCTATTTATTATAAGTGAGGTTAAGCTTTATTTGCCTCTTCAATTCCTTTTTTCTATTTTCCTCCCTTTCCTTTCTATAATCTGATTATTAATGTAATGTCTGTCATATATGTTGGCAATATCTTCTCCCAGCCTTCCATTGTCTTTAACTTTCTTGGTGGACCCTTTCATCGTTCAGAAGTTTTAAATATTAGGTAACCAAATCTCTCAGTATTTTCTTTTATGACTTACAGAGTTTACAACTTGATTATGATTCCTTGAATCAAGGCTGCAAAGATATTTTTCTATATTTTCTTCAAATAGCTTTAAGGTTTTCTCAAGGTCTAGTGTCTAATCCACTTAGAATTGTTATGTGGTTGCAAGGAAGGAATCAAACTTAAATTTTTCCCTGAATGGATATCTCAATGTCCTCATGTTCCTTATTGCATGGTCCAATACTTTTGCCACTACTTTGAACACAAAGTAGTCTGCTGGCTACCCATTTCCAAGGGGAGCTCTGGGAAAATCTCTATACATCATGTCTGTCACAAGGTCAAGGAAACGAAAATGTAAAATAGACTTATAATTTCAATAAATACTGAAACCATATTTGATGAAATTAAACAGCCCTACCTAACTTAAAAACAGTAATAACAACAAACTTAAGATTAAAACAAAGGAAGCAACACATTTTCTTGACAAGATAACTGCTTTTTAATTTTGCATTGATAATTTTTCAAATTAAAAAAAATTTAAAAATAGAGATGCGGGGAGCGGGGGGATGTCTTGCTGTGTTGCCCAGGCTAGTCTTGAATACCTGGGCTCAAGAGATCCTCCCGCCTCTGCCTCCCAAAGTGCTGGGATTGCAGGAATGAGCCACCATGCCCAGTCAACTACTTTTATCATAAATAGTTCACATGTACATACAAGAGAAAGGAGAAATGTATTCTTTGTTAAACTAGGATTGAGGTAAAGATGCCATTATTGGCCAGGCATGGTGGCTCACGCCTATAAACCCAGCACTTTGGGAGGCCCAGGTGGGAGGATCACTTGAGCCCAGGAGTTCAAAACCAGCCTGGACAACACAGCATGACCCCATCTCTACCAAAAATTAAAAAAGAAAATAAAATTTTTTTAGAAAAAACATTAGCCGGGAGTTGTGGCATGTGCTTATTACTGGGGAGGCTGAGGCAGGAAGATCACTTAAGCCAAGGAGTTTGAGGCTGCAGTGAGCTATGATCACACCACTGTACCCCAGCCTGGGTGACAGAGTAAGATGCTGTTCCAAAAAATAAATAAATAATAAATAATTAAATTACAAAATTTAAAAAAGATGCCATTATCAACAACCGTTTGGCTGGGCAGGTTGGCTCATGCCTATAATACCAGCACTTTGGGAGGCAGAGGCAGGCAGATCACTTGAGTTCAGGAGTTCAAGACCAGCCGGGCCAGCATGGCAAAATCCTGTCTCCATTAAAAAGAGAAAAATTAGATGAGCGTGGTACCACACGCCTGTAATCCTAGCTACTAGGGAGGCTGAGGCAGGAGAATTGCTTGAACCCAGGTGGCGGAGGTTTCAGTGAGCCAACATGGTGTCTCTATACTCCATCCTGGGTGATAAAGCGAGACTTTATCTCAAAAAATAAAATTAAATTAAGATACGTGTTTGGAAATCAATTTATTTCCTTATACCAACAGAAACCAGCCCAAACATGTAAAGAGAAATTCCTGGGCAAAATGATAATATGGAGCCAGTGGACCCAGTTAACAAACCTCCTACTTCCAGTATTCTCTAAAGTGACCAGTGAAATTAAAGATAGGGGAGACTGGCATCAGTGGCAGAAACTAGAGACATGTGCCAGCCATATGCCAGGCCAGCTGGATCTAATAATACTTCTCACTATGTACTATTATTCTATTTTTACTTATTTATTTATTTATTTTGAGACAAACAATATTTATTTATTTATTTTGCTCTGTTGCTCAGGCTGGAGTGCAGTGGCTCGATCTCGGCTCACTGCAACTTCCACCTCCTGGATTCAAGCGATTCTCCTGCCTCCGCCTCCTGAGTAGCTGGGATTACAGGCCCATGCCACCATGATCAGCTAATTTTTTATTTTTAGTAGAGACAGGGTTTTGCCATGTTGGCCAGGCTGGTCTCGAACTCCCGACCTCTGGTGATCTGCCTGATTCTGCCTCCCAAAGTGCTGGTATTACCGGCATGAGCCACCGTGCCCGGCCTATTATTAATTTTTTGCTAAATTTCTCTGAACCTGGTTTTGTGCTAAGGCTGTATATGCATTAGCCTATTGAGTCCTTGCATCAGTAAACCTATCAAGTAGATATCCTATTCCCATTAAAAAATAAAAAAGATCTATTAAATATATTTGATTCAAGGTTAGAGGGTGGCAGATCCCACTTTGGAAGTTAGGTAGATCTGATTGCAAAAGTACAGTCCTCAGCATTATCAGGCCTCTTGACTCTCAAGTCCCAGGAAAGGCACTAAATAGAGAATCTGGAGAAGAATGGGGGTGAGAAAGGGACAAATGGAATATGGGGGGGCTCAGAGGGCCGAGCCCTGTGCAGTTAGGGGAGAATGCTCATAACCACCTGTGTGAATGAAGTGCCTTCATGTGCA